TACATCACCAAAACAGTCTCACCCGATAAATAAGTGGCGTAGGCCGCAAACACCAGCAGCCTTCATCCGCTTCCTCGTGCCGTCGCGATGACCACACAGACCCAGCACGCGTCCGTCAGCGGCTTTGCCACACCGTTTTCCCTTGTTTTGACCGCGCTCGATGATNCACCCGATAAATAAGTGGCGTAGGCCGCAAACACCAGCAGCCTTCATCCGCTTCCTCGTGCCGTCGCGATGACCACACAGACCCAGCACGCGTCCGTCAGCGGCTTTGCCACACCGTTTTCCCTTGTTTTGACCGCGCTCGATGATAGCCCGACACACGCTCGGATCCGCACCAACGGAAGACAGCTGCTGCTGCTGCTGCTGCTGCTGCTGCTGCTGCGGCTGCTGGGCTGGTGGTGGCTAGGAACAGGTATATGGAAAATGAAGGCTCGCACATTGTGGAGGACCCGACACCCTCTTTTCCCTCCCTATTCACAACGGAGTGGACACACCAACCCTTGCGGGAGGTGATGCCGCTGCTCAATCCCATACAATCTGAGGAGAAGAACTGACTCGAAAGTACTGGTGTACGTTTCCTTGGGAGTGTCATGGTCATGTGGATTCCATTGGGTTCGCGTGATTGCGCGCGTGGCTTGTTGCCGCGACCGTTCGACAAGCCACTTTACACACGGATATTTAACGTATTTTTCCCATCTTCGGCCCGCCATGGCCGACCTGTTCCCGGCAACTGAGCCACCCGAACTATCGATCAACGGAAACGCATACTTGTATGTGGGTACTGATCTCGCTTCAAACGGTAAATGGTGGGGCTATTGTACACTACCAGTGCGCCGCTGACATCGTTGTGAACCTGGCGGTTCTCCAAGTTGTCTGAAGCTATTGCACTCCGCACCAAGTCGTACTGTGGGAAAACAGTACGCACTTGCACGCACCCAGGTACGCTCGCACAAGCAGACAGACAGGCACACAAGCGGACAATGTTCGAGTTACATAATACATAGCACAAACAAAGGTTTGGTCCCTCGGCACCCGAGGATGGCATGCATTATGGAATGGTGGGAAACTACCACCTATCCCCTTAGAATCAAGGCGCGGGTCGTAGGTGAAACGGATGATGTCAAACTATGGTGCTGCTGATGCTCTGCACACCCGAAAGCCTGGACAACGGCGACATATTCAATGAAAGCCGTCACGATGAAGACACGTCCGAGCTTTGTCAGTTGGCCGAGAATGCCTGTAAATCAAATATGCGTTGCTCATGTGCTCTAACAACCGACGGGTGCAGCAGTTGAAACGTTTTCAATGCCTGCCGCCATGAAGCCCTGCCCTCCTCTGGCATTGTTTCTACAGGAAAAGGAGACTCTGACAGAAAACGAGAAGGAAAACCCAAGGAATACCCGGGAAAGCAAAGGGGAATACCTCGAGCATCTGCCGACGCAGCGTGCGGAAGCTCGTCCGGGGTAGCCGGAGAGGCGAGTCAGTCGGGTGCCTCCTCCGGCCCTTCTAGTGGTAAGACAAAGAAACCGCTGACCTTCGCTCGGGGGAAATATCCTACCGAGAGTAAATGTGTCTGGTTGTTAGAGTCTTGAAACCTCATCTCGCTTCTTTTCGTGACACTAGACTACAGCCGATGCTCTTTTGTTGCTGCTGCGTTCGGGAGCGTGTCGCTCCATCGATATCAACATCTACAACACCGATGTATCCCCCGAGTGACGCAGAGCCAGGTAGATGACACCCGCGGGTGTGCCGATCCTGAGCTGGGTCTTGGCGCGTCAGCGTGCGTATGACACTATGTAGTTTTGTCACCATCTACGTAAACTGTATTTAGTATTAAACTCGGCTTGTCACGACTTAACCCACTGCTTCCTCTGAATCGTGGAACTTTCGTATGTACACCAGCTGGTGTCGTTGAGAACGATTGGGTTGCAGTAGACGTGCGTTGCGCCTACGGAGCCAACTATCCGTATTGCATCACCGTGCTAAGAAATGGGCGATGTTGGGTGACAGTGAGGGCGAAATATCCCCCGGATGCGTTAGGATGCCAGGTTCGTCGAGATCTCATACAAGCGAAGCATCCCCTGTTGAAACACCTAGGTCGAGTCGAGTGCCGCTCATTTTGGTTTGAGCGAAATGGCTCTTGGAGAAACGTCCATACCCACCGCTCCGCTGTCGTCCTGGAAGCGACGCGGTGCTGCAAGTGTACTCGAGATTCCTGTGGGGGGTGGAGAATGTGGGGTTGAAGACGTGCCCATAACGAAGAGCTGCCGAATCGAGGCTAGCATCACGTTTCAAAGTACGGAACTGGGCCTGGCAGAGCAAAGTGGTGAAGTGAACTGGTGCACGAGCAGCGACAGAGCCTGTGACGCAATGGAGTATGCCAGGGTGCGGGGAGCCGCTATCATGTTCTTTCGCTTTTTCTTTGGTCAGGAGGGTGCCGATGCGCCGATTGTACAAGGCGATGCTCCTTGTGGAGGTTCGACCGATGAAGTGAAAGTAGACGGACATACATGACATCGATGAGGCTGGCAAACCACATGCCCTAGCCACCTCTTGTGGACAGAGTAGAACCGAGAATGAGAACAGGCTTCCACGAAGCACCAGCACGAATGGGTTGGCGAGGTAGGGAATGATCGAACATTGTACACCGTTGGACAAACACCACCTGTGAGTAGGCCCTGCTCCGCCGGGACGGGAATTCCGTGGCGGTCGGTAGAAAGACAGCGGCAGGAAGCAACCCGACGCTCCCGTCCTCGCTACAGTAGAATATTCTGCTTTCTGCGTGCACCAACGTGAAATCCACCAGGTTCAAACGTCTGGACTCTACGCCGAGGGTCCTCGAGGAGTCTCATTCCTTTCCTGCAGCTCAGCTGCTTGGCGACACTGCTGTTGCCGAACGGATGGGAGAAAACGCAATAGCCTCTTCGTTCCCGCCTCTAAGGTACATCGTATAGGGGTCAAATTAAGGGTTGTTGGTGTCGGGTGCGACAAGGGTCGCGTTTGTGTGCATTGGCAGAAACACCACTACTCCGACATACCATACACATTCACACAATACAATTTTAGGTGGGGACGCATTCGCCAAGACCTAGCGTGAGACGGCAAAAAAGATAAAACAAACGCAAAACACTAATGCTCTGTGGTTTGGCCAACCAAGTGCATTTCCGAAGGGCATTAGATTAAACAGCCCACCGTCATGCGAACAACACCTATTGCAGAACCCAGCGTCAAGGACACCATGACCAGAACACGACCATCGATCCAGTGCGAGAATACCGGGACAGATACATCAAACAAACGTAGAGAGGGAAATCAATTAACGGAAGAGGCTTAGGGTAACACATACGGCACGACTTGACGCATGAGCAACCCGCAGTTGATCCAACACCAAGGCTGTTGGTGCCATATTTGGTGCACTACGTCGATTTGCTGTATTCGGTCCAATTCTCCCTATGGACGCATTTCGAACGGCTCTGAACGGGCCTGTTGAGGAGCCGACTCACGCCACCCCTTTGCGTCCATGCCCTCCAAGATGGCACTGAACGTAGTGCGCTCCTCGGGCTCCCCACCCCAGCAGGCCTTAGCGATATCCACGATGTCGGCAGGAGCGTCCACATGGAACGAAGGCCGGATCCCCATCAACACCGCCGACAGGATATCACGAGGGCGTGTCTTGTTCGCCCACGGTAGCTCCCTGGAGAACACCTCCCAAACCACGATCCCGAAGCTGTAGACATCGCTCTTGTAGGTGCTTCCGCCTGACTCGAGCACCTGCGGTTGTACCGCAAAGCCACACGGCGGGGGATCGGAGACACAACGGAGCAACAACATTCGCGGCTTTCACTCATGATGTCGGGGCTACCACCAAAACCTCGGCAGCAATGCATGGAGCAACGCCGGTGAACAGGCAGCGGCGGAAAAGGACCTCGTTCAAGGGGGGAGGAGCGTTTTCGCACGAATGATGGCACATGTCGACCTACATACAGTGAGATCATAGTGGGTGTGAACAGGTGGACTACGGTAGAGTCCCACAAACACCTTGTGCACGAGATTCATGAAGGCGCAACCTACGTCGCAGCAGACGACGCGATTGCACCTAACCAGGAGTTTAGCACTGCAACGGAAGCTTGTCGGAACCCAACCTGGTTTGCGTCGCAAACTTTGTGCGTACCTCCGGTGCGCTCCAGGCGAGGCTCATCTGAGTGCTCTGGTTGGCCTTGGTGGTGTACGTGGCCAGGCCCGTGGAGTTCGTGTGCTGCGACCACCTGGACGTGCCGAAGTCGCCGATCTAGAAACAAGAAACGAAATCATTGTGCACAAGTGTTAGCTTCGCCGGAACATCCAGCCAACCAGCAACGTTGCATACTTGTCGAAATGTTGCGTAGGGTGTGGCGATCAAGATGAATGCTAACACCCGCTACCCTACCCAGGATAATCTGTATTTGACCAAACATGACGTGTGCCATGGTGTATGAACTCTGCACCGGTACGACTCCGTACGGGATCAGTCTCCGGACCAACGTTACATCAGCTCGCGCTCCGAACAAGACAATCATGGGCTAAGGGTCCGCCAAAAAAGCAAGGTTGTCATATATCGCCAACGAAACGCACACCAGCGCACAACGCACACCCAAACGTGAGACCCGAGCCTGGGCAATGATCCAACTCAACCGACATCATTCTCACCTTGGCCCTGCCGCCGCCGTCGAGAAGCACGTTGGCCGACTTGAGGTCGCCGTGGACCGTGTTCTTGCCGTGCAGGAAGGCCATCCCGGCGCAAATGTCTCCGATGATCTGTCTGGACTTCTCCTCGGGGAGCGGCTTCGTAGACCTCCTCAACAACGTGAGGAGGTCCCCGTTGGGGAGCAGCTCCATGACGAGCACCATGCGGTCCGACAGAGACGTCACCGCCCCATAGACGTTGACCGTGTTCGGGCTCCGAAGGCGGATCATGGCCTCCAGCTCCCGCAGGAATCCCTTGCGCTGCCTCGTCTCCCGCTGTTTTTGGTTCTCGTCGAGAGCGCCCAAGTCGTGGGCGATGTATAGTACCTGTGGTGGTTTCAACGCCGCAGCCCAACCACGACGATTCGTACAATCCGCAATTTGGGCTACATTGAGGAACACCGAAGCAATCAAACACCGGCTTATGATAGGAAGCGGGCTGACGTCGGTGACGTCCGGAGTTCGTGCTCAGATTCGGCACGTCATCTTTTCGACTAACGCCGTCGATGGGGGCCTACGAAGAACACAAGTCAATCAAAAGATGCCCGTGAGTGAGGCTCGTCGCAGCCCGCGTCGTGGTCGATCAACCCGGGTATGTCCTAGATACGAACGGCACCGGGGGTACTTGCCTCGCCGTCAATGAAAAAAAACACACGAAAATATCATCACGACTGTTGACGCCCCACCGTTCCACCCAATGCTGAGAGGTGGCCTTGGTGAGGTTGGCCTTGGTGGCAAGTGTTGTTGCCACTGAGCACTAAATACTGCATCAAGGATGATTACCATCTACTGAAGTATCAGTTAACAATAGAGCAACTATATCGCAGACCTTCGCCGCTGCGTTGTGGCCGTTGTAGTCAGCCAGGTACACTTCGCCGAAGCCCCCTTTTCCCAACAGATCGGTTGTGATGAAGAGTTGGTCTTCAGGAATCTCGACTTGGTCAAGTTTCCGCTGCCGCCGTATGCTGCGAGCCTCCGCCACGGACTCCGATGTAGTAGACTCCGCGTTAGAACCCTGTAGTAATCTTGCACCCAAGCACGTCGCACGTGGTCGCACAAGTGAGCGAGGGATCATGGCCGTACAAGTTCAACATATCGCTACTAGCTATCGAATGAAACTGCGCATCGCAACCTCTACGCAACCAGGCACCGAAACCCTGTAAGCTTTTGGCGACTCCCCTTCCTCACGAAGCAGTCGAACGAGCCAGCCCACCATGACAAAGCTAATCAGATTCCGAGCCCCTGACCTATGCACTCATTGCTTGCACGAAATGGTTTGGCTTGCCTGCCTGTAGAGGTTCATGCCCTCCTCCACTGCCTTGACGCCATGCTTGACTGCGCTCACGTCGTTCTCCATCGACTTCATGCTATCCTTGACTGAACCCATGTCGTGCCCCATTTGCAGCTGCAGGCCCAACTAGAAGGTATCGGAAGAATCACAAACAGGTCTGCGATGTCAGCACCAATCTATGGTACAAAGACAATGGAGAGTCCCAAAGTCGAGTCACGTTTTAACGAAAGGCTTTCGACATGAATCGATGTCGATCCGTTTGTTGCTGGCAAGCCAACTTGACGTGGTTCGCCTTAGCCAAGGACGGTATCAAATTGTTGTTCGGTCGTACCTCTGTGAGGCAACGTCAAACGTTGTCGACTGCCACCGGGAGCCCGATCGTAGGCACGCCGTCCGTGCAAAACTAAGGGTCCAAGCGCTCGAGGTAAGCGAATTATACACCTTGCGTTCGGCTCAAAATGGAGCACACCCTCCCTGCGGAAGCGTTACATTGCCAGCGCCGAAAGAGTAAATATGGGCTTGATCCGCTCACCTGCAGGCGCGTGATTGCTCGGTCCACGACGGCATCGAGCTCGTCCTGGCGCCGCTTGAACAGCGTCGACAGCAACAGCTTGGAGAGCTTGTTCTTGCTCTGGAACGTTTTTATGAGCTCCACCAGATCGAAGATGGCGTCGTGCACGTCCTCAATCAAGACACGCGCCACCTCTCCGGTTGTGTCGCTACCCTGGGATTCATGGCAAGAGGCCACGGTAGCACCCCGCGGTGCCGCACATATATTATCTTCATGAGGGAACCTGGGAGGCTTCCATGTACTACACCCGGCCAAGCGGAACGTACAAACGGACTCATGACATCGTTTTTGTACAGGACGCCCCGACCAAAGACAGCCGACGAAGCCCCGGACGCTCTCAGCTAGCTCACCTTGCCAACCACTTTCTCGGCCCGCTTGAGCGCCATCACGATCGAGCGGCACTGCTTCAGCCTTGAATCGTTCGCCCGGTCGTTCTCACGGTTGTCCGTAAATAGGTTTGCCATGATGCACAACACCCCGGCCGCCTCGCTGATGCCGGGGACCTGACAATGATGCGCCAGCTCCTGTGCTGCCCCCAAGACGGCGTGGCCAAGCCCGAGGTCGTCCGACGAGTTTGGGCGGTCGGCCGCCGAGGAGTCTTCTCTGCCGCCGCCGCCGCCGCCCCCGCCGCTGTTGCCAGAGGCTGGTGCTGGTCGAGATCCGCTAGCAACCGGAGCGGCCTCCAGCACGCCTTGTCTTTGTTGAAACACTTCAAGTTCTACCCGTTCGTGAGAGGAAACGTTTGCGGTGGAGTGTGTGGCGGTGGACGTAGTGTCCGTCGTCGACGTTTCCGCTGAGGCTGCCGCACTTCCTTCGCCTCCGAGCTTGGCGGCACCACGATCTTCGGCAGCATCCAAGACGACTTGTTTCGGTGCTGACTGCGGAACAATGTCTCCACCACCGACCCCTTCCGCCGGCGCGTACGGAGGTGGCGACGCCTCGTTGTTTTGTGCGGAAGGCCATTTGTCGTCGTCGCCTCCCTTGGCGAAGGCAAGCGCCGCTGTGTAGGAAGGGGGCGGGACGGGCCCAAGGCCTTGCTCAAGGTTGCCGCCGCCGGGGGCCGGAGGATCCGAGCGGGGCTGCGCGGTCTCCTGCCTTTTGTCTCGTCGACGCTTGCCCAGGGCCGCGAGTGCAATGAGGGCCACACCGGCAACGGCGGACAATACCCCCGCTACGATGGGCGTAGAGTCCGAAGTCGACCCTATTTCCGAGAACATGTAGCAGGGTTGGCGAGCGAGAATAACGAGAGAAAGAGCGGATTGTCGGGGCTATCACGGAGAAGGCGAGATGGCGGCGAAAAGGCCTCTCGAAAGGCGGAAGTGAAAAACACAAGGTAGTGTGGGTTTTTATGGGAAGCTTCGATTGCAGGCAGGAAAAAAAAGCCGGGTGCAGAGGTTTCGAAACAGCTATTGTTCCGGTTGGACATCGCAACCGGTTCTCGAAAATTGCATGGTGGCTACCCGTTGTGGTGTGCGGCATCCGGACGGCGCAGACTGACATGAGAGGGGATTTGGCCCAGACCAATAGGCCCCTCCAATCCAGTCTGATAGATTGGCTCAGGGCTGGTCTCTTAACCCACCACTGTTGGTCAAACGCCTCGCCTCTGGCGTTTTCTCGACAAAACAGGTCACCGCTGACTGAAACGAAAGATCAATTGAGCCATACCAGCGCCATCACCCACCCGATTGTCCGCCACTGTGAGTGCTGAACCTGATATGCTGACTATCGAGCTTTCGAGGACTGTGCTGCTTGGATGTTGGTACTCGCCTGTTGGACCTATGCTGCTGCTTGACTGTCCTTCGTAACAATATCGACTCCCAGATGTAGCTATGTCATCTCTACAGGTGAAAAGTACCTGCAGTCCAATAACCACAGAATTATTACCTTATCTGCTTTAGTAACCCCCATCCTGACAATCACGTGATGTGAAGGGTACCAGAGTAAATTGAAACACGACCTGTTTCCACCGTATCACCATACCAATTGGAGCGATCTTCGTTTGTCTTTTCATATTCTCGGGGACACGGTAGTACAACCCCTCCGGCATGTTCTAACCCAAAAGCAGCAGCAAAACCACGGACCAAAGCCTACCTTTTGAGCTCGAGGGGGGTGCCAACGTAGGTGCTAGCGCAGATCCCGGTATAGCGGTGCCAGGTGTAGGTGCTTCTGTTTCCAGCGGAGGCGTAGGTGCAACCACAGCCAAGGGTGCCGGCGTGGCCGCCACTACGCCCGGTGTAGGTGCTTCTGTTTCCAGCGTAGAGGTAGGTGCAGCCACAGCCTCCGGCGCCGGGGTTACCGCCCCTGCCAGACACCAAGCCAGCGCGTTATGGCGGATTGTGCAAGCGGGATACCAGCAGCCAGTTTGTGTGTTATCCTAACCCAGGCAGGACGGGAGGAAAGCCAACGCGGCCTTTGAACGAGGAAGAATGGGCCCGCAAGTGCGAACTGAGCGGCACCAAGCCAGCAAGCCTACCTCTCGTGTTGGGTACCAAAGTAGGGCCTAGAGTCGGTCCCGGTTCTGGTGTAGGCTCCGGTGCAGGTGCTCCCGTTTCCACTGCAGGGGTCGGTGCATTCGTAGTTGCAGATAAAGGTGCAGGCGTGGACGCCGGTACAGGAGCAAGTGTGGGCTCCGGTACAGGAGCAAGTGTGGGCTCCGGTACAGGTGCAGGTGTGGTTGCCGCTGCGAGTTACCAAGTCGGAGGTGGGTAAGAAGAAAATGTTGAGATGCTCCAGCCCATATCATCATTCAAGCCGCGTACCAGCATCGACAGCACAGCTGTACACCCGGGTCCGAGCCGGATATGCGGGAAGGCAACGCACCACCTATGATAGACCTCCCTCCTGGGGGGGACTGGATAGCTGCACTCACTGTGTGGTCTTGGGAAAGCCACTGTTTGCAGGTCTGCATTGTTTTTAGGCTGTTGATGCTTGCAGTTGCCTACCTTGTTTCAGATACGATAAAATTGCACGTGTCACCTACGGGGGGGGAAGCACCGCGAGACTCTCAAGCTTCTTTAACCAGGGCCCCGCGACCCATGCCTACTTGCAAGAGTGGCACTGACACCTAACATAGGTAGGGTGCCAGAAGAAGGACTGAAACAGCAGACAAATGAAAACAAATAGCGGAGGTCATCCGAGTAGTATTTCGCGGGCAATTCGGATCTCTCGTGCAGAAGCACGTGGAAACGGGGCAACTTTTCATGTTCCGGCGAATCTGGGCGGATCTAATCTATGCCACAACTCGTTTTGGAAAATAGCAACGCGCCAAATTGCTAAAGCGCCTGAATGAAGAGGATGGACCTCAAAGGTCACTTGCCGCCTTGTTCGGGACTTCGCTCCCTTACCGCAAATGTATCCGACAGGTCCGGGAGTGCAGGTTTCAGCGCCGCAAACGTTGGTCACGCCCGTAACAGCACACCCTGGAAAACGTTCAATGCGGATCAGTGCAGTGGAGCATTACCTTGCGATGAAGAAACATCGATGCCTCAACCAGCATACCTCGGTCCAAACAGAGTATTCTCCTGGTAACTCATGGGATCATGCAAGTGGTGATACTGCAGGCGATCACCCTTAAGAACTATCTGCGACATGAAAACCTAAGGCACTGAACTACATGTCGAATCTGGAACAGAGTGGCACCCGGGTTCAACGTTTCGTCGAATCTTCGAAGGACTGAGGCGGGATGCCGCGTCTGGAAAACTGAGTGACAATCGAAATCTCACGCGGACGTAACATCCTGGTTACCCTTTTCCGAAGGAGTGACACCGCCTACCCGGAGCATATGTGGAGCAGGATGCGAGGGCAACAGCTTGAAAAATGTGAACCCTGGCCGAGAGTCAGGTTTGTTCGTACGCTCGTCGTGTCGACTTATCACGCACCACATTCGGTGCCGTATGTGTCGACGTGGAGTCCGTCGGCATCGTCATCAGCAGCTGCCGCCCTGCCAAGGGGTGAGCAGGATGCGAGGCATTGTCCAAGCAGCGAGGAGGTGATCAGGCGAAGATGCCATGCATGCAATAATGGAGGCTCTCCATGGGGAAGTTACACGAGAAACAGAAACTGAAGGAAAACCTCATGCAAAGGCAAAAAAATGTCAACGATGCATCTTCTGTTAAAGACAACTCACCAGTCCGGTCACGGGCTCACGTGTTCCACATCAAAATCCGCTTCAAAATGAGTGAAGCCTTTACACCACCCTAACAAGGTTAAGTCGCTCTGTTAGTCTCATGAAATGACCGACGCCCCCCGTAGTGCATGCATCCACTCGACATCTTGAGAGGCAACGACCTTTAGTTGGCAGGATATTGGCCACTGTTCAGGCGCTGGTCAGGTTCCCAAACACGCGCAATATCTAGTGGTCACATTGATACGTTTCAGCCCATGATCGATAACTCTTTGAAGGTACTTACAGGGTTGTTTCCGGTAGACATTCCAAAGGATTTCCGATCAAGTCCCTAAGTGCACAACCCGGAAAGGTTCGCCGGCGCAGGGACGGAGAAAATGTACGAAAAAGAATCGGACATCCGACAAGTTGGAAGGGACGAGGTTAGGACGATGGGTGTTGCCACCGGCATTACAAGGCAAATGCGATCCGTGATGAAGAAGGGTAACACACCAAACGGTACTGTTCCGTTAATTTGCCCAGGGTAAGGCCTTAGTGTTTCCCTCAGAAAACGCGCAAACCGTCTCGGGGGGGGTGCACACTCAAGAATATTCGAAGCACCTTACAATAAGCAGCATGTCACGTTTGAGCAATCCGAAAACCAGGCAGAATCAGGAAACTGGATGTGCTTGTTGTTCGCTAATATTAGGAGACCACTAACCTTTTCCCGCAACGTGCAGAAATTACGTAATTCTCGTACTACAGGAATCGTAGCCCCGCCCAATCAACGTGAACATTCGTAGCGTTGGCTGAGGATATGCAGAAAATTTGTACCGCATGTCTTTTCGTACACCGACTTACAGAAAAGTTAGGGCCGTAAGATCCTCGAACACCCCCTCCGGCAGCGTGGCAAGCACGTTGTCGTTGAGCCAGCTTTCATTTTTGTTGGGCGTCGAGGGAACGCGAAGAGCAGGGGAAACACGTCAAGCGTTGAAGCACTTCGTACGCCCGTGCATGCCCAACATTCGATCGGGTGCACCCGCAACGTCACGGAGTCCTCCGCGACCGGGGCAAGGTCATCCTTCTAACCCAATGGGTGAACCATGGACCATTTCCAACACAGCGGCGTTCGATTGGTGTGCAATTGTCACGCGACACAGCATCGCCATAACGCAGAATGAGCTCAACACCGTACGGAAAACACGCGATAGACGCGTCGAACTCCTGCTTACATAATTTCCAGGGCACTGGGATCCTGGAATATTCCACTGGGGAGGTAGGAGAGCGCGTTGTCGTGGAGGTATCTGGCGTTTGGGGTTATCCAGGGGATCAGGGAGCAGAGCAGAAGAGACAACACATAAAAAAAATATTACTCCTAGCAGCAGTAGTCTAGAGTGCGACCAACAAGTCAGGCCAGCCAACTAAGATGCTAGATGCCCAGGCGACGTTTGAATGCACATGGGACATGTACTGGCGACGTCACGGAGTCTTTCGCGCCGCGTCATGACCCGGGCAATGATCATATTGAATCACGAGGCAACCATCAACCCTACGCATGCAGCAAAGGAGTGAAAAGCGTTCCTATGTCACGATAGGACGCTGTCACTACATTTTCTAGTCAAGTCATACGCCTTCAATACACGCAAAAAGCGAGTCCCACGCCAACCTACAGTTTTGTGACGGTCGTGAGACCCTGGAACGTTCCCTCCGTCAGGCTGGTGAGGCCGCTGTTCCAGATATCGCTGTCGGTACCACGCAACAAGCGGCGGGGCAGAGACGAACCACTCATACATGGCCATGAAAGAGGCACGGTCGGCCAACCGAGAGAACACAGAAGACGTTCGAAAGCACAAACATACGATCGAATTCATTGCTAACGCCACTCTTTTCCTCCGCGTGCCGACCTCGGCACAAGCTTCCCATCCATGGGGGACAACCATCAGCCTCGTCGATTCAGCCGAGGAGCGATTAGTTTGCTTTCGTCACGACCTGCCTTTGTCAAGACGGCAGTTCAGCAAGGTCATGGCGAAGGATGAATTCATTCTTCATTCCTTCCCATCCTACTCACAGCTTGTTGAGGGCTGGGAGATCCTGGAAAATGCCGTCCGGCAGGCTGCCGAAGTCGTTGACATCGATGTGGCTTTTGGTTGTTGAGGGCACGTGACGAGCGGAGCGGAGGCGACAAGTTAGCTGCGAGTCTCTCCATGTTTACAGCGTATTTTGCCAGGTACAAGGCACGGCGGTACATGCAGTGTCAACAGAGATGCACAAAAAACGTGCAACTGCAGCCGGCATTCGGGAGCATTCGCCGTCGAGGACACGGCTTCCGTGCGAAATCAACCGAGCCAACCACTGCTTTCGCAGCACAGCAGGAGGGCGACTGCAACAAGCTGGAAGAATCATGCGTCCACAGTTGGATACGACAAATCTCTCGCCGGTCTCTCGGCAATGACATCATCCTGGTCGCCACGATCTAGCGGGAGGAAGCCCTCGGGAAACGGGTCGCAGAGTAGAAAAAGGCGGCCAATCGGCTCTCTATCACAAACACCGTTCGTTACGATAGGGATTCAGCATTGTCCACATAGTATCGGCGGGTGAGCTACATCATTGTCACAAGCAGGACGCGCGAAAGACAGGCGCTTGATGTGCCTACTTACAGGGTTTCCATTGCCGTGAGATCCAGAAATACTCCATCAGGCAGGGTGGTGAGGTCGTTGCGACCCAGGTCGAGGAATATTACACTTTCCCTTCCGGCGGCGTCCAAGCATGCCGCGAGGTCACCGCTGTCGACGTCGTCATCAGCTATAAGGCATTCGGAAAGGTCCCTGGGCCCAAATCACAAAAATCCCAAAGCACGGGTCATTTCTTACCCCGTCGGCATTTCGTCACCGTGTAAGTGAACCTGTGGGATACACTCTAGCCTCATGAATGCGTCCTACCAATTCGCAATACCTCCCAGCTTGTCCTGAGCAGTATCGCAGGTAGGTGCAAACACCGCCTGCGGAGAGAAAACGCGGTATTCTACCAAACAATGGGATTCTTGCAACGCCCGCCGTCCTGTCTGGAACGTTATACTTGGGGCCACGCCGTTTTGTAACAGCGGAACCTTACCATCCACCAATACCGCCAATATTCGCCTTGCCACACGAGAACGCTATTGCTTGAAGCGACTCACAGGGTTCCCTCAGCATCGATCTCGCATCTGTAGTCGGTATCGGTGGGATCCAAACAGGAGTTCGCTGAGACAAATGGAGAATCCAGGGCAGGTGGGGGGAAGCGGGTGGTGAGATGACCACATCACGAAATGGTCGAACAGCTCCAATTCGGATATTGCCGAATCTACCTTTTGCGGTAGGAGGCGGCGTTCTCCGTGGACAGGGCGGCGATTCTCCTCATGGCAGATATCTCAAACCCCTGTACGACACAACACTACTGCCGCGATGTCCCATTAGTCGACGTCGATGGCGGGTTCTGTATCATGATATTACAATATTATCCAGGAGAGGTTGTGTTCGTCGACTGTCGTGTGATGGCACGGAGTCGAAGCCTGCTGGGAGGTTAATCGTTTTTACCCGGTACAACTTGGGTACGGAGTAGTCTACACCATACAGTAAAATCGCCCGTTTAGTCAAAAGACCTCAGCGGCGCATTTGGTGACTACAGCTTTACATTATTTTCTGGTTGTGTTTTCCAGCCATACGCGGGCGTTGCCTTCCTGAAGCTGTTTTTCGAAGCGGGTAGCCGCGGATGGAACACGGTAGTGTAGGTGCCCGCATATTTCTTATGAGGCTCGATGTTTATACTCAGTGCTGGCGGCCTCGGTGCTTGTTCTCAAAGTTTGTACTTGGAGCAAGCGTCGGCCCACAAACTTGTTCTACGGGGTTCTGTGTTCGTCTTGTTTCTACGCCGAGGGCCAATGCAGAGGACACACGTGTAGGTTTGTTTCTTCCAGGGGATTCCACCTCATACTTGAGAGCTGCGTGTTTTTCCCAAAAATGACCTCGGATATGAAAAAAAAAAAAAGGGCCGTGGACGTCTGGGTCGAACGCATCGCACCTGCTGCGAACACCAGGGTAGACATACTGACCCGGTATCGATGTATCATGAGCAACATAGGTCCACGAGGGTCGCGTTTTCGGTGTCTTTGTCCTCCCTGCTCTACTGACGCCCGCCTGTCGTGGCTACACTGTTCACGGTCGGACCCCCCTTTTTGCGATGGGAGGACCTCCTCCCTGCTCTACAGTTCTCCCCTCAGGCAGGGCTCACAACCAACGGTGCCAGCAGCTTGCTGTGATGACAACGAAGGGCAAGTACTGCAGGTGATACCCCGGATTTGCTTATCAATCTGCTCTACCTTCGTGAGGGAAGATATGTTTCGCAGCCCCCATGTCAACTCGATGGCCTCCTAGTGTGCCTTCGAGAGGCAGTTGCCGCCAGGAAAAACATGTTCTTTCATGGCCTCGAATGGTCGATCAAGAATAAACGGGATACTTCAACAGTTGGCCGAGCTCCTGCAATGTCTCGAGATGTACCGACACGGTTGGTTCCCGTACATACATGCACACACCATGCGCACAGCGTGGCAAGCGCCACACACAATGTCACGCGACGAGGGTATGCAGTGTACAAGCTCGCACCTACCCCCCGCCGGTAACTTTTGCAGGCGCCCCCACCCACGCATCACTATAGTATGCCTCCCCAGCCCCGCTCCCCGAATGAAACTGAGGCCGGTAGTCCCCCCGCCGGTGAAGTTCGAGATTTTATGCCCGAATTTCAATTTGACCTCACCTTTGGAGGTGCCCAGCAACGCGGTAGGCCCCAGCAGAACGGCCAACAAGACCTTCATGCTCCTAGGAAGCCTGTCAAAAAAGGAGAATGTCGAGCTGCAACGTTCGGACCGGACAAGCCACCAAGCAGTGGTTGTTTGGGGTACTTGGAGACAATATCTGATGTGGAGAGTATACGTGTGTGCGGGTGGTGTTTTTCGGGGTCCAAGTGCGGGGCCCATCGAGAGAGAGCACGCACATGGGTTCACTTCTGTACTTTATGTATGTCGTGCTGGAAGGAGCGCGGGTGTTTGATAAACAAGGTTAATATCAGCTGCATCAGTCCTGGGTACACGCAGTTTCCAGACACATTCATACTCATACTACCGTGGACGTGCATGGTGGCCCCCGTGGGAAGGCACGGGGGCCTCTCCCACAATTAGTCTAATCATCCAATAGGCGGTCGATGTCGCATCACCAAGATGCCTCGGAGAGGGCGGCAGCCGCGGAAAGGTCTGCGGAAGAGTTAGGGGAAGGGATCAAAACAGCAGTGAATAGGATCGCGGGGTTGGAGAATAAGTGAAAGCTGGGAAGGCAGCTGGGGGTGTACCCGGGTCTGCGGCTGGGGGGGTGTATTCCTGGAGGAAGGTCCAGGGGAATAGACATGGGCGGAAGCGCCCACACAATTTTGTGTTCAAGAGGAAGCGGAGCGAAAGCTGCCGGTCTACGATGGCAGCTTCCGAAATGTCCATGCCCAGCGAGAGTCTGGCCCACACACGGCAGAGAGCTAACACAACCCCAGGGTCCTGATCAATGGCCCTCCACGTGGCGTGCTGATCGCCGGATAAGAACGAGCGGCTCTTGATTACCTGGTGGAGGCAACGCAAGGTGCGAATTTTCAGACGAAAATGCTTTGGGCTGCGTCGATAGAAGGAGCTTGGCGTGAGGCGGACCGTCGCTGCTTGACGACGAGTGCTGGGAAGGAGGCTCTCAAGCGGTCACTTTCCAGTCTGAATATGAGTGTGGGTCAGCAACCTCTCGACTACTTTGTCGCTTTGGAGGAAATCTTGGCTGCTCTGCGTGAGGTCGACGTGTGCATTGTGCATACCAGATGTCCTCTGATTTCGACGTCGAGAAACGTCCTATACTGATGAACCTGGTCATGACTGATGACTCGCAAGCAGCTGGAAGACATCGTGTACAGCGCCCACAATGAGCGGGAATTCAGCAGCCCAGGACGGCAACACGCCATGTCGCCTGTGCCCACGGCTGACCAGCATGATCTTCATTTCGGCGGTGGGTATTTTTCGGGACTGTGGAGTTTTTTTTCAACAGCAGTATCAATCTACAGCAGTCGTGCAGAGGTGTTCCCGTGCAGTCACCATCCAGGAGCAGCAGGCGCACGGCGGGGTTGAAAAAAAATTTCGGTTCATCAGCAGCAGCCAGGCGTGACGTATGGCAGCGCTGGTGGGTTTTAGCAGCAGCCGCGGCAACAGCAGCTGCTGGCGGCCGGCTACACCAGCGGTGCGGGTGAACAGTGGTGAATATTTGTTGGTGAGGAGGAGGGGGGGGGGCTGCTGCCGGTTCAATCGCCGCGTCTTAACCCTTTCGTGACTGGGTTCTTTCTGGATCTTCCGCGGTTTTTTTTGTTCTGCCGGGACCGAATAGACCGATGAGTCATGAGACACACACACACGACACCCGCACTTGAACGTTTGCACGTTTGTTTGCGCACCAACAGGTTCCCACACGGGTCAACCGCACGCACCCCATGGTGCCACAAAGGTTTAGTGCCCAACAGCAGCGTAACCCTCACGTGAAGAATGTGATGAGTGACCGATAACTACACTGACTGCTGTACTGCTGTATGTAGGTGCTGTCGGAAACCGGAGGAGAGAGAGAGGAGAGGGCGCCGTATTTCTTTACCCCAAACACGATTACATGGTGATAGTCTACATGGATACAGCAGCAGCAGTAGAGATACATCGCATGCACAGCAGTTCTACCCCGCCGCCGATGCAGCACACTGGCGCAAGGCATGGCACCGCCTCCAATGCCACTTGGTTGGGTGGTAAATCCAGCGGAGACAAGAAGCACACACGCACGCGGTTTGTTTGTTGGATGCATGCATGCGAAGCGAAATGAAAAAGCACCAGCAGCAGCAGCAGCAGCCCGCCGCAGCAGCAGCAGCAAGCACGAGCCGCGCGAGAGATAAACTATGCCTTGTGGTGGCGGTTGGTTGAAGACGGACAAGGAATACACTCGAACACACACACTCGCGCAGGAGAACTCGGGGAGAGGCCTCGTAAGCTTGGCCTTCAGTTCTGCAACCACATTCCGAAGGCAAGGAAGAAGGCACACAGCTCAACAGCGAGAGCATGGGTTATCGTACCAGATAAAGACAGGTTTTATCATGCCTCCTATCGTGCCTGTAGTCACGAAAACCCTCTCAAAAACGCGAAGGCACGGGGGCGGGTGTCTCTTTTTGACACTCTGTCACTCCGCCACAGCCTGTCAGCACAACAGCAGCAACAACAGCAGTACAGCAGTACCAACATCACCACCATGGACCCAGAGGACATCGCTCAGTTCTGGGAGGCCAAAGCGGCTGAGTGGCATCCAGTGAATGCTCCCCTAGTTTGTTTCTTTCTGTCCCCGGTCGTTACTTTGTTTCTTTTCGAGCGGTCTAGTCGTACCGTCGAGCCGTCGTCGACGCAGGTATCCACAGCTCAATTCGGTTCGAAAGTTGTCGCATATAAGGGTTATCGTGCCTGCTAACATGCACGATTCGGGGGTGTAGTCACGAAAGGGTTAAAAGCCCCCGCCAAAGCAGCTTCTCTCAACTCAGTTACACACCACGCCACTCATTCTCCCCCGCGACCCACGACATAGCATGTGGCACCTGCAGTGGCGCGGAAGCGCGAAGGGCTGGATCTCATGGAGGCCGGGTAACAAAGCGGCAGATCAGCGCAGCAGCAGCAGCCGCAGCCTCACTTGTGCCACTGAAGACCCTGTCGATGAGATCCGTCCTGCTGCCCCATCTACAGCAGTTGGGGTCAGAGGGTTGGCGTCGGCACCGGCGGCGGCGGCGGCGGGTTGTGACGAACATCAGTCGAAGGAAGAGCGACGGAAGCATAGTTGACCCTGGAGGAGCCTATCCTAAGCAGCAGGAGAATCGACAGGAGCAGCGGTGAAATGGTGGAGCCTCTTCCGATGCTTGGGTAGGGAGGCCAGCCGAGGTACATGCGCCGGCAGCGGCGGTGACAGCGCTGGCCAGACCTGCAGCAGCGGTGGAGACGACGGCATCTGCGGTTTCGAGAGGGGTACGTCGTACTTTTTTTACCCTGGAGGATTTTCCACGCAGAAGGCGCTTGTTGATGGAGACGAGATGTGGTGGAGAGAAGGAGGACCGGAGCAGCGGCGGCCGCAGCAGCAGCAGTAGTGGCGGCGGCGGCGGCGGCGGCGGCGGCAATGGAGCGTCAACGCATCCGTTTGACAGAGGGAAGGGGTCCCGATGGAGGAGAGAGACCAGGGGGGCCGTGCTTGGAGTGAACCTCCCGTTCGATGGAGGTAGAGATGCATGTGCACATGCCGGGAGGTGATGCTCGCACCAAGAGCAGGACGGAGATGGCTGAACGTATGGAAGACGATGTGTTCCGGACTGACTACTGATGATGATAGAGGCGATACAGGGAATATCAGCCGGACGTATCCATCCCAATATTTTCCTGTCTTGTCGTTAACACTCCCCCCCCTCCTCGCGGTGCCCCCGAAGTGATGTTGTTGTCGTCGTCAATCAGACATCTGCTTGGTGTCGCATTGGTAGTTGCCATATTCGTTGTTGTTCCGTTATACAAAATACAGCGTTGGAGACCTGTCTATCTTCCTTTTTGTTTCCTGTGTCTTTCTTTTCTGTTCTCTCTTGCTCTATCTATCTTTCTTTCTTCTTTCTTCCTCTCTTTCTTTCTTTGTCTTTCGTTCTTTCATCCCTATTGACCGGGGTCGATCGTCTGCAACCCGGTTAGTTTTTCCTCTGTTTTTCTTGTTCGTTTGGGTTGAAAACATATCGTGCCTTGGTTGGCCATGGAGGAACCTTCTTGGGTTGGTTCAGTTTAGTTTGATTTTTAGAAAGGTGTACCCTGTTAGAAAGGCTTGCCCATTAGACTACTCAGTCAGCGCTGACTGAAAGATTTACTCTCGGCTCGTAGCCACCTGGCTGGTCACAGGGACTTAGAAGTAGGGATCTCCGGGGACGGACCCCTCGCCAGGCGCCGCCGGAACAAGAACAAATGGTTCTAACCCAGCCGGGATTCGAACCCATGCATGCATGTAAATTTTGTTGAAAAGGCTTACCCATACGATCACTCAGTCAGTGACTGAGTGATCGTATGGGTAAGCCGTTTCCACAACCAGCCGGGTGGCTACGAGCCGAGAGTATATACCTTGTCAGAAAGGCTCACGAGTAGTCTAATGGGTAAGCCTTTCCAACATACCCCCTTTTGGGGGCAGAGGGCCTGTGACCACGGAAGGCGTCCGCAACAGTTGGACCAGAACGGACATAAGCAGGTACTGAGCGGACACCGGAACGGTTTGTAACGTGAAGACAACAATAACAGCAAGAACAACATGCACGAGGAGTGAAGTAGAAAATTGGCGCCCACCACACGTCACAGTTTATGCGAGTCTCTCTCTCAGCTCTTTTCACGAGTAGATGTGTCTCTACAACAGTATGTAGGGTCTCAAGTCGTGTCCGGCTTTCACACGTAAAAAAACTGCTGTTATGAATCCATTGGTTCATCACAGAGGAGCCGTTCCGAGCTTTGCAAACAAGCTCAATAGATGACCCAACGAATCCATCTCGATGTAAGACAAGAAGCAAGCGAAGATAGAGTAACAATGAATCTAAGCGTCAGCGATGGCTATGTGTATTTCCAAGATTTCCCGAGCAGCACACAGCGATATCTCCCCCGTGAACAGGATCAACCACGACAGTTTGGTGCCACATCTAGATGAAAGGAGTTTTCAACTTCCATCTCTGAGCGGAGACCGGAACGCACTCACTCTCTATGAGGATGTGTCTTATCGACAGAATC